TAAATGCAGCTGTGTATGTTATCAATAGCAAAAAAAGATGTTTGCGTAAGCAGTGATCATCAAAGTTTGGGATCACTCAGGATTTCATCGATCTAATTTTTTATAAAAAAAATATGAAATATTGGTTTCAGACGTGTCACAGAGGGGCCTTATTTATGCGAAGAATGTGGTACCGATTTTACACCGGTTTGGCGTGCCATCGGAGCAGATGAGAATTCACTAAATCTGTATTGTGATGCATGTGTGAAAGCAGCGCAAAAGAAGAAATTACGTCAAGAGCATACCGCATTGCTGAGGAAAGCTTTCAATAAAGTTATGGAAAAAGAACAAGTAAGAATGGCAATATCATATTGTTTTGTTTTCTCACTTTTAGGTTGGTGTGTTACAATTGCTGGTATCAAAAATGAATATTCTTCATCACTGAAAAATATGTTGTGATGTAAATATGATGGAATAGAATGATTTCTATATGGTTGTGGGAATAGCACTTAACCATTCATTTTACTTTAGGAATTAGAAAAGCAGATAGCAGAAGGCAAATTCGAAACGGCTGTGCCTTCATCATCAACACCTCGCTCATCAACACCAGCTACACCACCTCTCAACGCAGCTGCTGTGAAAACTGCACCTTCTTCCTCCGGTGCCGCAGTTAGTACAGCGAAGGCTTCTACTTCCTCCGTAATTATTTGTTTTTTTAAATAAATTTGGTTTTTTTATTTGCTGAAATTCCGTTTATTCTGGAAAGCCTTAGAGAAGGGGTTTTTTAAGAGACTTTTTTTTTTATAGGCAGGTCATCAGCAGCATCATACCAAATCAGGTTCATATAAAAGGCCTGCAACAACGAATAGTAACACCGCAGCACAGGCTGCTTCGCAGAATGCAGCAGCTGCGGCTGCAGCTGCGGCACTTGCGGCAGCAGCAGGTGCAACCGGCACGAGTAATTTCTTACAGCAGCAGATGGCAGCAGCGGTAGCGCTCCGACAAACAAATCCTATGCTTGCAGCTATGATGGCGAATCCTTTGCTCAATGCACCAAATATGTTACAGGTAAGAAAAGTCATCCTCTTTCTGTGCTCCTTTCTGATCAGAAATACAAATATATGGAATTATGAAGGTATGAAATGTTGAAAAAATACTTAGCAAGTTTGTTATGCTCGAATTTGCTTCATGCAATATAAGAGCAAGTTAGAATAAAATACTAACGAATGGTTGATATCAAATGAGAATAACAGTTAATATCGGAAGTCATTTTCGATATATGGGTGTTCGTTATCATTTGGCTAGGACTTGTGGCACTCAGAAAGGAAAAGTCCTTTTAGAATGCATTTAACACGTTTACAGGTGTTGTTGGAGACGCCCGCAAAATTATAATATCAGAATTAAAAACAGTATTAACTAACAGTACTTTTGTAAAATTTTTTGGAACGAGCACTTGAACCATATCTACCGGAAAATAGTTACTTAGCTACATGTGAATATGTGCAAATAGAATGAAACAATATTGTCATACGAATATCATGACGGTTTGGGCAATTTAGGAGTAATCAGTGAGGTGAAAAAGCGTATTCTCTCATTTTATTGATAGTAATATGCATGCTTTAATTTGGCATTCATTTTATATATGTAGATACTAACCAGTTTTTTTTTTTTTTTTTTTTTTTCAGCTACAATGGAATCCGCTAATGCAGCAGCGTTTACCCAATTTGGCAATGGCAGCACTTGCTCAGGCAGTTCAAAATGCCCAGCAAAGCAGTACATCCGGAAATGTTGCATCGAATGCAGCTGCTGCTGCCGCTGCAGCTGCGGCTAATCCTTTGGCAGCACTAGCAGCTTCGATGAATCCGGCTGCTGCAGCTGCTATGTTTAGCAATAGTCCACAGATGGTACGGCAGTTGCAGCAAGCACAGCAAGCAATGCAAAGGAGTTTCCTGTTAGAATACGCAAAAAGTCAGTCGAAGAAATGATGTTATCAAAGAAGGTAAATATTCCCGTTCTGTTCTCCATTTGGTGATATGAAGTGATATGTATGCATATGTTGTGGTATGTTATGGTATGGTATGGTAGCGGTGATTTCATAGGCGCTTTGTTTTGCACTTGGGAATCATTATGGGTATTTTAATTATATTGATACTTTTAGGTAACTTCAAGGGTTGCTTAATTAAAAAGAATTACTGATTGCTGCTGTTTTTTAATTATCCCATCTATCATTCCTTCCTGTTATTTATCCTCTTGATGATAAAGTTAGCATATTGCATAAAAATGTTAAGTCATTATCGAGATGGTTAAAGATTCGATTCTTGTTAGCATAACAAATCTTATGAAATTAGTTAATATGGGTATTCTGATAGGTATCTTTTCAATTGTCACAATCATGATGTTACCATCGCAAATTTCTTCCATTGGCTGTCTTTTTGATTTGGATTTTCTTACGTTCGTGCCCTATTCTAGAGCAACGATTTGGCTAAATTTGTTTTCCGTGGGAATGTTCTAAACATGATTAAATTTTAATTTTGGATGGTAGCTGGTTCAATCTTTTCCTCTTTTCTTGTGGAGAATAAACTTCACGTATTAGTGAAATATGTTTCTATGAATTCTGTGACATGAAACATTACGAAAATCTGAGCACTGCAGACTGGGACAAATTTTTAACTGGAAGGTATTGATTGTTGGACTCTTTCATTGGGAATTTTTAAACGTTATCCAGAAATTTGTACTGTAGAAAAGGAGAACTCAGATCACTTACTCGTTGCTCCTGTACACGCTTCTTGGTCAATTTTTGTTGCTATAGGTATCGTGATATTTGTAAATATAAGTATGTAAGGTGTAATCCATGATGATGTTTTTTCTTCAAATTGAAATATTTGTGCAACAGTTTTTAAAGTAGATCTCGAAAAGTTTGTGTTTTCTGGGTAGAATTTAGATTACGCAATGAATATAATGATGTAAAAGATAAAGGATTGTTTGCAGAATCCAGGAAAGATCTACGGAGGTTATTGTGTGGAAGCATTTCACAAAATTTGATTAATTGTTTGTGATTTGTGGGTTAATTATTTGAGGTTTATAATGGTCGTAAATGTCTTCAGTACTTATGAAATATGTGAATGATTCTGTGGCATTTATTGATGAATGGATGAATGGTAATTGCTTGGCGGTGTTAGCTTGTTATCATCGATTTTAATAAGTTTGATAAGCCTCGGCTTGTCTGCAATCCTTTTCGGGGAATTTTATTAGTTCATGATTTATATATTTCTAAGTTTCAATTGGTCATGGGATTGTTTTTGTTGCATTCGTTTTTTAATCGAAATATTTTTATCATTTCTTTCGATATTTAAATAATTTAAATTGTTGAAATGGATTTTTTTTCTTTGAAAATTCGTTTCATTACTTGTATAATCGTTTTGATCAGAGAGAGATGTGCTTTCAGGTTGAATTTTTTGAGTTGTTTTATCACTTTTTCTCTTGAAATTTGTTCTTTTTTTGCGCGTTTATTGGGAATCAGTTCAAGATTGATGGCTGATGATAGATATATAACAATGATAGTTGTTGATTATTTCTTCCCCTCCAGATTTATTTGTATTTACTCCATAAAAAGTCTAAATTTAAGGAAAATAATATTAGATGAATTTTTCGAAAGGAGGTTACGAAAACATTTCTGCCTCTCGTTTTATAGTTGCTAAGTTGCCTTTTCCTACAATCCTGGAAGGAAGTTTTGATTTTGAAAACATTTTATGCATGTTTGCCTTCGTACAGTTACGCATAACTTCCCTGATTAGATAAGAAAGCGTTCAACAAGACTGTTGGCATTCGAGACTCATTCCAAAATAAAATTTTCAGAGGATTTAGATAAGGCTGTGAAGTTGGGATTTTGGTAATTTCCAATATCTGCAGTAGGACTTTTATAATAGTGACTCTTTCCTGTGTTCTGTCGGTCTCGGTCTCAGTTTGAGGCTGTCTGGAATCAGTTACCACGAACTTTCAGAGAATTTAGAATAACATTTGGAAATATCTGTTCGTTGCGATTTGATAGAATTATATGTCACATTTATTTCTGCCGCAACTTCTACCTGACTGATTCATTTTCTTTCGTGTATCTCATTGGTTTTCATTAAATTGAACTTTTTTGAAACGTTCAGCAGCATATATTGGTATCTGTGTCTGGTTTTTTTTCAGGGGAATCACATTGCGGTCGCTGAGGTTTATCATTAAATTCTCTATGTTGATGGCTACACGCTGGGAACAGCTGGAGGAAAAACTTAAATTAGACAATTAAAAGTTGAGCGCTAAGACAGATTGTGTTGTACAACCTGAGGTAAATATTAGGTATCTTTTACTAAGAAATGTGATGCCTAGAAGTAGAAGGTTCGTGATATCCTCTTCGCAGTATCCTAATAGTTGGCACTGAAAGACCTCAAATATGAACATTCTCACTCATTAATCAACAAAATATATTCACTGTTTCCAAAAGAATCATCACTTTTATTGATTTTTCTTGTGAAGGAAATACAAATTACTTCACACAATCATTAAATTGTGCCAGGGAACAACAAACAAAAGAAAAAGACAAACACAATTCGTTAGACTTCCCAATCTAATGACTGCTTAATATTTGGATATTAAAGCAAGATTCCTGAATAGTGATGGGTGATGTCTTTATGCTTTATGATACATGCAGAAGAGATTGTTTCCTGGTTCGAGGGAATACCAAAGATCGGAGCTGGTGTCGTATCTTAACAAAGTAAAAGCGAGTCTTAGTTCTTTTGATGTTTTTTAACCTATTATTTCATAGCAATAAGAACATAAATACACAAACACTAATTACAATACCAAGGAAAAAGGCAAGAGGAGCAGAATATGTGTGATAAATTCCGGATGCTTCGCTTCTGCAGCTTTATATTCTAGCTTATTAAAGCTTTTCGGACTTGCATCACAGGAATTGATTTTATACACTAAAAAACGGAAGGACGTTCTTTCGTCATGCTTCTGTCAAAATGCAGAACTAACTATTCGTTAGTTCGTAGTATCCGTAATTCAGTGGCATTCATATGTATATCTCCCTTATCATGAACAACCTTATCTTCTTGCTTTCTGCCACCACTGGTACTACTAGCATCACCGGCACCACCACTACCATAAGCATCGATGGCAGCAGTGGCACTCAATAGATGCTTCCCAAAAATTGCTCGATAACAATTAAACTCCAATAAAAAGTGAGGTATTGATGACAAGAATGTTGGCAATAATACAAGACCGTGAAATAGACCCCAAATTACCACCAGTGATATCGTTTTCACAAATACCAATGGGATGTAATTCTGAAATTTGCAGAAAAAGGAAGTTTTTGAAATTAAACCTTTATGGAGTTCATTGCGTCTGAGATTGCTTCACTTATCAAATAAATTATTCACATTACCAAATATCTATTTACTGTTTACTCTGAATTGAGATCCATCTACTGTCCCCACGTCTAGTATCTCCGTGTAGTCAAATACTTGCAAAATTTCTCCATTAAAATACAGGAATGTTTCGAACATGTAAAAATGCAGATCGTATCCATTCTAATGCTAAGATTGATTATAATTAGCTAGCTTCACGTTCCATAAATGAAGAGGTGAGCATAGAATGATGGGATGGCTTTTCGTTTCATTAATTAATTTCATATAGTATCAAACCTGTAGAAATGCTAACGGTATTATGCAAGCAACCGTACTGATTCCACCTTGCAACGTTGGCCACGCTACACTTTCCAGCGTGTATTCTAAGCGTGCTTTATTGTTTTCCAGTCGTGATTTCGTTATTCTGATCCCTTTTATTGCTTTCTTCTCTCCGAGCTGTCATATATAGTACGGATTATAAATCATACAAAATCATATCCCTCCAAATTTCCTCCTCGTTAACTGCGGTACTAGCAAGCTGGCATTTATGGTGCAATTCGGTGACGGCGATAGGTGGGAAATTAAAATGGTACAATGAGCTGAAACAATCCATAGAGCCTGGGATCTACTGATTGCAATCGTGAAATGAAAATCCTTAAAGAACAGTAATAATACTGCTTACCTGATGGTAATAAGATACATGAGCGGTAAAATCTACTGACATTCCAATACACATCAATATGGCGCAAAGCGTTGCCGGGTCGAGATCCAAATGCCACCAAGACAGAAATCCAATCACGCCTTCAATAATTTCCAGGCACTTGTTGTTACAGTTCCTGCTAAGGGCACCCCCCTTTATCTCTATTAGCAATAGCAACAGCAGCAGCAGTTTAATCACTTTGAGCACTCACTCAAACACGGGTAGGTTGGATGTCAAAACTTGACACAATCACTTTGACCCGAAGCGGGTCGAAACTCTTTTGAAGAAATCAAGAAGTCGTTCACAAGTAACCCTACAGACGATGTAGTCATGATTATCTGTCAAGAATAGCATTACCTATTCAGTATATCACATTACCTTCTTGAAATAGCATCACTGCACCTGGACATTGTCACAAAGCCTACACCTCCAACATTTACTGCAATTTGCATAAACAAAAATTGAGTAATGAAATGCTGTTACTACTACTACTGTTTATTACATTCATCACTCGTTTACACTTCAATTTCTCTTGTTGCTTAGGAATCCATTTCATTCTCGACTTTCTTAGCTGCTACCTTTTTAACCCAGTCTTACTAGGACTGATGATACCTACCTCACCTCATCAAAGAGGTACTCAATCATGAAGTATTCTCAAGTAAACCACTACAGTATTTAATACACTTACCGAAACTTATGGATGCAATGGTGAGAGATGCGACAGTTACACTGAATGGATTCTGGATGAATAAACCGCATACTGCTGCCATGCATATTAATGTCCAGAAACAGGTCTTGAAAAGAAAGTAAACTTTGACGGTTACATCCGGAAAAACTGATCAATGTGTTCATATGAATTACTCATCTAACATATTCATAAGGTGAAAGAAATCATTGTCAAAATCGCCTCACCTGCATAGCTAATGTTTTCAATGAAAGCATTTGATCGACAAACATCGAATTGGCTTCCCAAACGGATGCATTTAAATCTTTATAAGAATTAGCAATACTTCGCCATTTTTGCATTAATTCAATTCGTTCCTTCCAACTGGTTAAATTCTGATATGTGACCACGAAGCAAAAACTTTCCACTGGTATATTAGAATCATTCCTGTCGAAGGAAGCATTTGAAAATCTTTTCTTAATAACTTAAAGGAAGGAATGAAATACTACTGTTCCCCCAATAACACAGCATATAATAAGAACTTTGGACACAAAATGCTCCTACTTCCTTTAAGTTAGCTGTCATATCAATGCTCTCACTTCAACATCTTTGTAATTTCTACTATACAAGGATGAATCTGAGATGAATCACCTGATGAAATCAAGTGCAAATAAAAGTTAGAAAGGAGTTTCATCTGGCAAATATTTGTAAAAGTAGCCTAGCATCATTTGCTATTATCAATCATAAGCATAGGTATGCCAAGCATGCTTCTTCCATTTAAAGGTAATGTTTCAGAAAGTATGCTTTAGCGGAAATATTTAGCGCTTTCAAAAATATTTTACAGAATAAGATAAAATCGAAGATGAATGCTGTATTACTTCTAAAAAATTCGGCTTTAAATAAATTTAAAAATACCACCTCAACTTTAGAAAAATTTTCCAGTGCTTATAAAGTGGCGAAAACAGGAAGTCATTCAATTTGCTATAATCAAGCATTTCCTTCCCAGAATTTGCCTCATATTTTGATATTGAAGCCGTTGTAGTTAGTGCTATATTATCATCCGAAAAATAATCAAAATCATACAACAACGCTTCCCACCAATATGTTTTATAATCCCGCAACCAAAGAAGCGTAAATTCTTTCCCTGAAATACTCAAATGATTTTTCATTGGTACACACAAAATGATTTATCATTGGTTTCATTGGTGTAAAATGATTTCATTGGTTCAATATTGATACACATGAAATAAAAATCAGTCTTCAAAGTGAAAATTCAACAATTATTGCTCTTACCTCGACACTTTTCCAATGTTTCGAAATCATTGACCATCGCATCAAATCGTTTAAGGACATGTTCATTTCGTATATCCAAAGGACTATTAACCAGAATCGTTACTGGATAATATTCCCTCCAAACTGCAATCTAATCAAGCCACATTTCAGCGAATCCGGAATGTAATCCAGTTGGATACTAATGAAGAGACTTATAATACTATCAACTACTTGAACAAATGTCAACATAAATTTTAAATGCTATTGTCTTGGACATTTGTCACATCAAATATTTTTATTAAATTGTTCTGTTTATGCAAAGTTGCACAATTCCATATTTCAAACAAAGGTTCAATCTATTCTGTGTGGGAGAGATAGAAGAATTACCTATGGCTGAGATCATTGCATTTGCTTCTTGCAAAGGTGAATTTTTTGGTAGCAATTTTTCTACATCCAATCTTGTCTCAATATTCATTGCACCAATAATACCAAAGAACCAGTAGATTAGGATACCAATGAAAGCCAACACACAGAACAGTTTTGATGTTATCAAACGACAGTAGCATTTCAATGTGAAATTTAATCCAATGATAACCTTAAAATACCATTTGTTAAATGTTATATAAAAGTACACACATGCATTCTTTTACACCACCGAAGCCTTCAGCAGATTTGAGAAGAGCTAAATTTATAACAATTCTAGAAAATTGTTTCCTGTCAACTACTACCTGCAACAACCGGACAGTTAACTTCAGGTCAATTTGCACATCAGCTGATAGCTACTTTATTAAGAATTAAACAGTTTATTAATTATTGCTACATTGTTCAGAAGTGCTTCGCCAAAACATTCGGCAAATAAACTTGACAAAAAATTTATGATTCTCATTCTTCTTTCAAATCTAAGGAAAATGCATATTCATTCAGTGCAGCACGTTTCACGACGCAAAACTAACCACTAATAACATTCCGGATAGCGGCCGTACAACAGAATTCAGAAATGGCTTAATCTATTTACTGACTAAGTTCCCGTAATTTTCTAACCTTAGTGAATCAATTTGGTGATTTGTACTTTCAATTTAATTTAGAAAGTTTTCTATGTATATCTGTGCATCGGTCTCTCCCACAGGTCATAGTTCGATCTTTAAAAGATTATTTTTGAAATTTGGGAAAAATAAAAAGCAAATATAACCATAGGTAAACCAGCATGCTTTTTCCTTGTTCGTTCAACGATTGATGCTAAATAGAGTAGTGGACAGAGCAAGACCAATGTGAAGATATATGCAAATGCAAGTGCTATTGCTGTTTCCAAACAAAATAATGCTATTTCTGAAATGGAAAAGCAATATTAGCATCCTATAATAAAACTGCTAAATTTTGTCCGAATTAGATAGCAAATGGAAGAAATTCGAAATTTTCAATTCAAATTTTAAGTAAATTGAAGTTATTTGAAAAGAAATGGATTACGAATTGTCTTATTCCTCTGCAAAAGATGGAGCAAACCAATACCTGGTGTAGGAGTTAATGCACCGATAGCAAATGTAATCACATTGGTAAATGTGGAAATTGTCACTGAAGGTCCAGCCTCTTCCAACACAAAACCAAGTCGCTGAGGTATCGAACATTCACTAGCTGATCGTAGCCATGAGTGGATTACTAGAAATGCTCCGTTAACGCCTATAATGAGTGTTGGGATGAGCAATGTGCGCATAAGCGGAAAAGACGGACTACTAGAATTTACTACGCCTCATCATAACGATCACGTATATTATAGACGTTTCACGTACACTAATCAGGTGCTACTGTTTCACTTCTGGCAACAACACACTGTGTAATGTATGCACAATCTAACAATGAGTAGGGTGACACATTTTTGACAATGCAATTAAAATTTTTAAACGAAATAAGGAAATATTCACACAATTTTCAAACAAAAAGATGAAATTTACATTTGTGTCTGTGTGTGTGTATGTGTGGAATGCATAGGTACTAAAGAGGGAACAGAAGATAGAACAATTGCAGGAATGGGTAGGACAAATTAGATTTCAAGTCAAAACAGATTATCAAGTCAAAAGTGAGATTATCAAGTCAAAAGTCAATTCGAACATTTTTTAGTTACAATATGGATAATTCGTCATCGTACTGTAATAGACATCCAACTCATCCAATTATTTACAATTTCTATTAACTTTTATAGTATAACTGAAATGGAATCTTATGGCACTCACTGCTAAAATAAGTAAGAACGAATTTTGAAAAAAATCTTTCACTTACCGATTCCCATCACTAGGAATGGCATAATTAGCATAATTGTGTTCGTTCGAAGTCGAGCTAATGAAAATAGCCCAAATGTAACGGTAATTGCCAGGACCGGGCATGCAATAACGCCAAATGCAACAATTAGCTTGGCTGGATGCATGACACCGAGTAATAAGGCACTGCCAAGTACTGAGATAGCAACAACCAAAAACATAGCCAAGAAACCTGAAATTGGGCTAATTTCAAAAAAGCTCTCGTGAAATGTTTTTCAAAATGAAAAAGTTGTACTTCCGCAATTCAATTCTAAATAATATTTTCTAAAATCAATTTGATATTTTCAAAATGTATTCTTGAACTATTAATAATTTTGAAAATTTCAATCAGTGTTAACGATAAACAAATTTACGGCATAATGACATTGTGATTTTATATTTATTAAAGTGACCTTATCATTTCATATTTATGGGTATTTCTCTTTTTTTTTTTTTTTTTTTTTGAAAAATTACTCTTTCGACGTCATCAGTGTCACATTCGTTAGTTCAGAGTTTTATGTCAAATTACCTCAAATCTCTTCTCTTGTAATTATATTTGAAACTATAAACAAGTGAGACACGAAGAAATTATCTTTCTTACACTGAATGGATTTACTTCACATTTCCGATTGGTAGACAAATAGACGGTGTAGATCAGGTGGTTTACCGGGTAAGTAATGTGGTATTTCTCTTATGTCGGGTATTATTCAAGAAATTTGTTGGGTAAGTATGGGTACTGCCAAATAGAACAGCACTATGTGTTACTGATAAAGTGTCTGTATCATTGATATCGAACTGAATATTAGAAGGAGATGTTCAGAAGCAAATAATCAGAAAGCAAAACGATTTCTTGGAAGATGAAAACAAGGGAGAGAGAGAGAGAGAGAGAGAGATGGAGGGAGGAGAGATCTAAATGATATTTAGGAGAGAATACTGGAAGAGGTTAAGCAATGAAAGGATCATTTATTAGAAAAGAAATTTGAATTTTGTTAAAAGAGAGAGCTTTCTTCATGCGGTGACACGACGAGATGAGATGACACGTTTAACTATTGATTGTCGAACTGAAACGATTCGAATAGACTAGAGACTCTTATCATATAAAATCATTTTAGAAAACTAAAGATTTTAATTTTAATTTAATAAAAGATAAAACAATCTCTAGAAATATATCCATAAAATTTCTTCCTTCTTTCCCTGTTTCCTTTTTAATTAAATTCCTTTATCATTTCAAGAATATTAATGTCAACAATTTTTTTTTTTCCACTTTTTGAATGACAATAAACTGATAAATAGAAGTGTGAGACAAAAGAGGAATTCCAACTAATGATAGAAAAAAAAAGTATGAATAGCAAGTTGCAATCAATTCTCTGACTTTCTTCTTCTTATCATGCACAAGTAATTGATACTATCATAAGTTTGCTGTTGTTTACTTAAAATTTCCTCTTATCACACCAAAAATAAACGAAGAAAAGAAAAAATACAGACGTTAAAATTTCTAAAATCGAAAGAAATTTTTGAAGGAATAATGAATTTTCGATATTGTTTTTGGAAAAAAAAAAAAACAAATAAACAAAAGTATTGTTGGAACGATCAATAATCTATGCTACTAATAGATTAAAATGATTGATTCAGGAATTAAGTAAGTAGCTTCTCGATAACTGCTCATGTTGTATTATCAAAACAGAATGCTTCATTTGAATGAATGTACAGCGAACTAGACACTATTATTGAAAATTAAATTTTAAATTTACAAAGTCAAAAAAAAAAAACAATCCTACCAATCCTATCTGATTACTCTATTTTGTCCAAAATTTTCAACAAAATATAGACTGAGAAACGAAGATAAAAAAAAAAAAGAGGTAGAAATATGTAAAATATTCTGTTAAGTTAGCAGTAGTAATATTATATTTGTAAATTTGGATCGAAATTTTTTAATTTACTTTTTTTTTTTTTCTAAAAATCAATATTGATCACCTTTTTCTCTTTCATTCTTGCTATTAACTACAACATTTCCACTTAAAAAAATGCACGGAGAGAGAGAGAGAGAGAGAGAGAGAAAAAATAACCAGCAACAAAATAAGGTGCCATTCTTTGTGAATCCTTGATTAGTTCCTGATTGACTATTTCTGATCCAAGCACCTGTAATTTTAATTTTTTCCTCTTAAAATTAAAATTGAACAAGGAAGGCTCAAAGTATATTGCAAATTATAAAAGTGATTTTTTTTTTTTATCTGAGACAAAATGGATTACTTCAAAAAAGATAAAATTTTGTAATTTTTCATTAGAAATAAGAATTTCTCTCTGCTTAATATGATTAGTTACTTAATTGATATTTTCATTTCAAAACAACAAGAAGCAATTCAAATTATTGTACAGAAAATAACTTAGCTAATTAATATTAAATTCATTGAAGGAAGCAATTTCAAGCGAAGAGCAAAATGTCTTTGGACAGAGTCATTTTTAAATAAAATCTCTGAAATATCTTATAAATCAATGAATAGGTGGAAAACATTGAAACGTACCAATATTTTTATTGGTTGATTAACATAAGTTTGAGTGGCAAATTCATACAGAGCTACTTCCCATGCATTAAGCCGTGCTTCCATATTACTGTTAGTTACCTGTCCCTGGAAGACCATGAAAACGACCTAAATGTTTTTCAATATTCTTGAATGTCATTTCAGGAAAAAAAAAAAATCTTGAGAGGAGAAATCTTAGCAAATAGCTAACTTCGAACAGCTGAAAAATGTGCAATCATTTTGCTATCTGCAATTGAAGTGCATGCATCTCATATATTGATCACCTGGATGTATTCAATATTAGTGATCGTTTCCAGAATTGTATCTTCCGTAAAAGATGTAGAATCTGTTTTGCTGGTGCTGGTACTGCTATTACGGAAATTTCCACTATTAGCATAAGGTCGTAAACGGACGCCGTAAAAATTGCGCTCCAAATGAATATCAAAACCAGTAATTTTAGCAATCGGATAAGTGAGATTGGTCGCTTCGCTACGTATTTCACCCGTTTTCTCCTTCCTATACTCTTCCAGTAATGCACTCTAAAGGTAAATCATATATTATATATACTAGTGTTTATCATACCGGCGGCTTACTTCACACTTCGGAAAATGCAATTTCGAATCAGATTCTCATCAAGAATTTAGGCGTACGGTTGACAAACGTACAAAATGGAAGTATGCCAAATAAAGTAAAAGTAAAAAAAAAAGTGAAGAGAGAAGAAGAAAAAAAAGATATTTCGAAAAGATTGCATAAAAATTACAACCAGAAATCTCGGTAGGAATTCCCGGAGGAAACCATTCAACTAATCAAACTGATACAGAAATCATTTATGTTTCATAAAGGAAACACACGTACGTGAAAATATTCGATGACAACATTTGCATTGCAAGAAAACCCGCATATTTCCCTATAGACGAATCGTTCACCGGTAGAAGGCACTTCGACAGTAAAATTATCCATAAAATATCGATGCAACCGAACTGCTTCTTCTAAGTACTTCAGACGATGCATGGAACCACCATCACGAGCTTGCAGCGTTAATGTGGTTAATGTCGGGTCACCTGATACAAAAGGAAACGAAAATAAACTTCCAGATGTTCTCAGTAAATGTCAAATTATTTGCCGGAAGAAATGAAATTAGCATGATTATATAACCGAAATTCTCTTGTAAGCTGCTTTCGAAAATTCGGCATATTAGATTAACTGAAACTGAAAAACCATACGGATCAATTGGCTACATCCGAACCATATAACTTCAAAATTTTGAACTTCCGAACAAGGAAAAGACGAACTGGAAAATGATCTCAAATTCCCAGCACTACAGAATCTTATCAATTATCACAATATCAATGCTATCAACAATTTACCTTTTAAAACATATGTCAGTATCTGATGGATGATTCATCATTTAGCAATTCGTTATTCATTAAGATCCATTAAACATTTTATTTAAAGGTAAAAAAATTTTGATGTGAACATAAACTTCAAACTTTTCTTTTCTTCCTTTCTTTTTTTTAAATGAAGAAACCAACCAAATGAATTAGTGAATTCTCGTAGCAAATTTGCTTCTCGTCTTGATGGTGATGTTGTTGGTGTGTAACCATCACGAACTCGATCTTCCAATTTAAGATAATAAATTCCGAATGACATAACTGACATAATGATTGCAGCAATGACATAAGCAAGCGGATACGAACCGATACTAAAACCGATCAGGCGGAATACCCTCCGTAAAGTTATTTGTTGACAAAACGCTAGTAGTTTGGATGCTTTTGCGCCTAAAATTTCAAAGAAATTAAAAAGACTATATGTATGTCCAATTTTGCTTTATTCAGAAATACAATCTAAAGTATCACTAATGAAACTTTCTTATAGCATATGCTTAATTCATTAATATCTTCTTTTGCCATAAATTGTCAAAAGCTTAAACGCTCAGAATTGAATTTAAGCTCAACGACAAATCATTGCACTGTTACCCATTCTGAGCATTGCAACAGCGTTTAAATGCAGAAAACTGAGTTTGAAGCCTAAAAAGTTGACCAAGAAAAAGTGCGCGACAAGGTGACACGACAAGAAAGACAAAAAAGTGACCATTTGTGGTGACTCTGTCTCTGTCTCTGTCGTCGTAACACTTCTCACATAATTCATCTAATGTTGAGTAAGTAACAGCTAACGATTATTAGCGCTGGCTGAACTGACGCTAAGTGGTAGCTCTTCCTGCATTTCACAGCATTCGTTGTCGTTATTGCTCTCAGCCAGATCAACCTTGAAGTTGGCACGTGGTTGTTGGCTGGTAGACGTTATTTTCGCAAGTAACGTTGACATCGACGATGAACTGACAGACAGTGGACAACTTCTAATTCATTACGCCTCTAGAATTGCACTTGTTCATTCACGGAATAACCAATGGCAATAATGCAACTAAAAAGTGTATCGACACGTTACGTAAAGTAAAAGTAATAGTAGCATTAAATGTATCACTCGAATGATTCAGAAGACGAATCACAATCAGATTTCATAGAAGAACAGGTGTCATCCAGAAATCGAATCACAGGTATGTTGATAGTAGTTCAACTAACAGTAATTTAGCTATTGTCCACCTACTGATATGTCCACGTACGATAAAAATCAGGTGAGAATGTTTAATTTACCTTGCCATCTATGTTCGTATGCTCATTCATGTGACACGCAACAACGTTGATGACACAACTATACCACTTAAGAAGAAGCATTTTGACCAAGACATTCATTAGGTGATCGATTGACCAGCTATCATATCCAAACAACAAATATCAGTTGACAATTATACCACAATGAAGTGAAGAAGTTAAAAGTAAGTGGGTAGGAAACCAAGTAAACAGATAGATAAATGGGAAGTATTTGATTAGACGGGTACCAGGTAGCAGGTAGATAGACAAGATAAGTAGATAAGTAAAAAGATGATTAAATAGTGGGTAAATAGGAAAACAGGTAAGAAGATTAATAAGTACATAAGAAGTAAATGGACAGGTGAATAGGCGAACAAATAGTTGGGCTAATGGATGGATAAGTACAAATGTAAAGGTAATGGTAGATAGGTGTTAAGCAGTAGAAAAAGTTATTCAGTGAAAATGAGAAAACAGCAAATTTTAGCTACCGTACCCTTAACATATATACGTCTTTTTCACGCACGCAAACGATAAACAAAAAAAAAAAAAATGCGTGAAAGGAAGACGTACGGAGAGATGTCACACCTGTTTCTTTTCATTTTTCAACTACCTAATGAAATTTTGTTCCTTTTTCTACAATTTTTAATGTCACAAAAGTCTGACTGACCAGTCCTGTTCTTCTAAGGTCACAAGTTCAACCCTTAGCGAACTTTTCTTCACAAAAACAGCAAGTGTCAAAGGCGCTAACAAAATGCTTTCAAATTAAATAATCAGAAAAACCGATTCGATTTTACAAAATTAGGATGATATGGAAATACTAAGGACATTTTACGTGAAACAAGACATATCCACGTGAGTTGAGCTGGACTCTGAGTTAATTATTGCTGAGTTTGAGTCGAGAATTGGTAACTATATAGAAAGAGTAGTTTAGAAAATGGCTGAAAATGCAGTCAACTAATGGAACACTTGTCAAGCCTTACAATACAAAGATTGTAGAACTCAATTCAACTGTAAGTAAATCTAAAATATTTTTGCATATTCCAATTGCTTCAAAAGATTGTCTAACTTCATGAATCATGCAGAAAATTAAAATTAGAATGGCAGTATTCAGCCATTTCTTTAAATCAAAAATGTCATCTCAAAATATGGAAAATGCTGTTGACAAAATGAACTTTTTAATAATAAGATTTGACACTTTGCAAATGATCGCAATTGTCTCGGCATAAGCTCAATAGCAAACTGATGTAAGCATATTTCCGGAAAGTTGACAGCATTGTTTACTGGATGCTTGTTGCTAGTAAACAAGCAAATAGCTTCAAAGAATGTTAAAAATACACTCTTCACGTATGTCTAAACAATCACTTTAGTTTCAACTTCGAAAGCATTCTTCTTAACTTTAGCGACTGAAATTGGAAGAGAAAATAAAGTGAAGAGGAGAGAGAGAGAAAGGACGAGAATGAGAGAGAGGGAATTAATTTCAGGATGAAACAAACAGTAAAATGGGCATAAATAGAGTCAGAAGAGGAGGACAAATCTGAGAAAGTGAATTTCGATTGACACTGATCTTTCATTTCATTTCATTTTATATCACAAATCCTTTTCTCCTTTATTTCTCTCTTTCTTTTCTCCATCCTTACCAATTAATTATTGAGGATGTTGTCTACTTGGATGCTAAATCGAAATACCGCCCTAAAAAATGAAATTTGAAGACTTTCAATCTGAGTAGAAATGATGTTCGCGTCTAGAAAGTGTGGACAGAGAGAGAGAGAGAGGGAAAAACAGGAAAAAGAAATAAAAAGGAGAATGTTCGATCTATACTCTATCCGACAACGATTCCGGAATTCCCCAATTCCGGTCAATGGTCATTATTCCTGACAATGCAAACAGATGTCCATTTATCACTTATTTGGCTTCACTTAATCGCAACACTATACATAAACTATCTCTGAGCCAAATCTCTCCTCTCTCTCCTCATCCCTCTGACTGTTCGTCGATGCTAAACAATTCTTAAAGATCTAATGACTAAGCTATTTTCATTGACTTTCATTTTTGATTTCAATTGTAAATTCAACTAAATGATTAATTAAATTTGTAAAAATTGAAAGGAACGGAAGAGAAAAGTGGAATGTGGAATAAAAATAGAATGAAGTCCAACGGATGGAATCACTTTCTCATATGGATGAAAACAAAAAATAAAAAAAAAAAAAAAACGAACCAACTGAAGAGAAACACGCAGAAATGATTCGCACACACGTGATTCAGGAATTGAAAGAGCATCTGAGCAGAATTACAGTTTGCAAATCAAATTTTTAAGATAACTTTAAAAAATGTGCCTTCTTGCTTCTCTCAATCTATTCACTCTCTATATGATTCAACTTTGAACTTTTTCAAATTCACTTCAAATCATTTCTGTAAATATCATCGGTAGCAAAAAAAAAAAGTGAAGTATTCGTAGAAAAGAGAAATCCAAATTTAGTTAAAAATAATAAATGTGAAAAAAGAAGAAAATCATGATAAAACGAGAAAGATCTTTTCCAAAATTTAAAATTATAAACATTTTTAGGCTTAAAATCAAGCTAAAGTAGCACTCTCACCTTTCTTAATTCATTGATAAGTAAGTGAAGAACAGACCAATTTGTCAAATTAAAAAAAAAAAATTTAATTTCGGTAGATATAAGCAGTGAACTAATGAAAACACTTGAGATAGCTCCGGTAAGAAGACGTATTGGCATACGACAAACTTTGGAAGTTAATCAACCTTTGCTTTCCTTGTCAGAGAGGAGAAAAATAAGCTCTAGTAAAAAAAAAAAGACAAACGAGTCGTTTATTGTTTACTTTTGCAGAAAAAGTGAACAAAAACGACGAAAGTAAACAAAGGAAGAAGCCAACTGTTCCTTTATCCACCGCTCATATCAAGTTTAATGTTATATCTCAAATGGAGAAATTCGGGGAAATTTGTCACTTCGGAACAAAATGCATGAACATCAATAATGATAGCAAAGCAATGTAAGCCGAAAAATTCAGCCCTTGCCCAATTTTCCATCTTTCCACATTGTGAAGTTCGATAAAATGATCGGTAAGTTGATAAACAGTACATCATCACCACAGTTACAACTTATCAGTTCGAATTGAAAAGATACACCGAAAGTCTTTTGCAAGCAGTTTGCAGTTTGCTTGCAAAAGAGGGTAATGCAAAGTATCAGCATTAAACATACATTTTGGAAATTCACATCACAAAGTGGAAAAAAACTATGTCATCTAGAATTTGAGACATATGTTGACAATATGAGACAATGACAGTATTAAAATTAAATAAACTAAGATACAATTAAATGTGCTTAATATCTGTGTGTGAGATCCATAATTTATGCATTGAATGAGCCAAAAAGAGATGCTAGCAAATTTGTGATTATTTGCAAATATACAATAATTGTCTTCAGGAATGTTAACCGTACCGGAAATTAAAGAGATGAAAAATTGTAGTGAATAGAAGGAGGAGAAAGTACCATCATTCATTATCTTCTACTCCTTACTTCCAACCATATTTTTGCAATAAATTGTTCATTAGAAAGAAAAGAAAACTGAAATTGACAATCATAAGACAGCGTAGCACGTGCCTGCCACTGATATGATATGATGATAAATATATTATTATCAAAATCGGAACATACAACTGGCAGCAACCTGTAAGGTAAATGAATGTAATGAAGAAGAAGTGGTGGTAGCAATGGTAGTGCAGGAAGAATGTCCGTGTGGTAGCATAGAAAGGAAGGAAGAGGAAACCGGTATTGGTTACTGGTGTCATAGATTTTAAAAAAGTTAACAAAAAAAAAAAAAACACTATCCGAATCGATAGAAGAAATTGGGTGTGTTTACTAATAAACAAACAGGAAAAAAGTAATTTCCAATTACATTTCATCATCGGAACCAAACATTTTGATCTAGTATAACCTATATACCTTCACTTCACTGTATGATATCCCGAGTCTTCTCACAAATATTTTTTGTAATCACATTTTCGAAAGATTACTTCTGTTGATTATCTGTGATCATATCACAACAAAAAACAAACTTCAACTCTATCTAAGCTAAGCCTATAAATCAAAAGAGCAAACGAATCCTATACTTTTGCATCATTTATATGTAAACAAATAAGCAAACGAAGAACTGGAAGTAAACGATAGGAAAAGTGATCCAAACAAGCCTTAATCGATTCCTGTATTTGGCACATGTTCAGGCCACTTGGCACAAGTGACCAACGGTTACGTAAAAACATTGCCATTAGACGAGAATGTGTTCCTAAGATACGTTGCAATAAAAGTAAAGTAGCAAAGGAAAACTAAAAAGCGCAAAGAGTACACATGCAATGGGTTCATTTGTCATTTCTTGGATGACTGTCTTTATGGCTGCAATTCACATCCATAGCAACAGCGAATGATGAACCTAGGAAGAGTTCGCTATTGGCCATAAAAAAAGTCAATTGTAACTCTTAAAGTGGACCGACCAAATTAAGGCTTGGCTTGCAACTACTTTTCTACCAACAATCAAAAATGCTAATCACAGCTGCAAGTCTTATTGATGTATTGCATCATGCTGCATGAACCTTCTGATGATTCTTTTCAGTGTATGTTAAATTTGAGGAATGAAAAAATGCAACAACTGACTTGGCTTGACTTGACTTTGACTTAATTTCAGGATGATCTTGAAATGATGAAACAGATCAAAGGATCAAAAGGGATTCAATGTTGTAAAATTTAAACCAATGAAATAATTTAAAACAATAAGTGATACAGCAATGATCTAATCCATTTCAAAATTGTATTTTAAAAATGCAAATTAATCGATAATCTTTGCAAAGCAAAATTTGAGGACCAAGTCATCCACACAGCATTACCAATAATGCAATCGAGCATCGAGCACTGAACAGAGAGTGAAACACTGATGGATGATAGATATATCAGCAACTGCCCATAGTCCTAACGAGTTGACCAAGATGAATGGAACAGGAAATGGGACAAAAAAAAAAAAAAAATTCTCATACATTTTAATTTTGACCATTTGAATTTATTTGTTTGGTTAGCAGTAGATAAAAGTGCGTGAAGATTCGAAAAAAAGTATCTGTCAGAGAAGATCAAAGAAGCTATTTTAAAATTTTGTTTGAAATTTGAATGGATAGGAAGCGATGATGATAACAGTGTATGGATAAATGTGTAAAGATAAGAATTAGTAATGAGTATGGCACTGTTTAATTCAAAATTTACTAAAATCATGGATGGAAGTAGTACTTATGATCAATTCAAAGTGATTTTTTGTTTTATGAATTTTTTTTTTGTAAAATCTGAAAAATTTTTTGATGTTGAATTTTTAAAGTGAAAACATAAAAAGTTGTTTTTTCGAATTTCCTTTCTTTTGTAATATCAGTGCAAAATTTTGAACTGAAATTATGGAAGGTAAGAAGGAAAAAACTGAAAATAAGCAGAAATTTTGAACTAGAAAGATTTAAGAAAGATGAATTTAATTAAACTCTTAAAATTGTAATTTTTAAAAAAAAAATATAAAAATTGTAAAACTTAAAATGATACTAACTTTTTCGAATTTTATAAATTTTGATAAAAAAAATCTATGAGTCATGGAATAACTTAATAAATGACTTAATAATGACTGACTTGATAAAAAGTAAATTGAGGGAAATTATGTAAGAAAATCGGACTGTACTCCAAAATACAGACTGAACACAAGGATAAGCAATATTTAAAGACTCAAAAATTAAAGACTCAAAGACTTAAAGACTCAAAAATGATTAATAACTAAAACCAGCGATTGCGCAGTTTGGAATAGAAATATATCGGAGAAGAGTGCATTTCATGAAAAACTGCAATTAGCCTGAAATGACACTATCAATGCTGATCGGCTAAAATGCGTTGCACAAAGATGAAAATGATTCACGGCCATGGATATTTCGGCTCTTCAGGAAAAGTTCCCCCCCCCCCCCCCCTCTCCCCGGTATTGCAATACACTGAATGCCCAAGAAATATGATAGTCGAATAGTTCTGGAGTGGAAATATATGCTAGGCCAGAAAATCTTAATGAGATGAGAAAAGCAAGAATAATTAATATAATTTCTTACAGAATGTAACTGCAAAATAGTACACTCATAAATGTTAATTTAAATGTTAAATTTAAAGCAAATGAAACGAATTTCCATTAACTCTTAATTAATCTCAGGTCAATCTTTATTAAATGTTAAATTTAATACAAAATGATCGACAAAATAAACGATCACAGCTCATACTGTCATATAAAATTGCTTTCTTATCGCAGATGTGTTACTTAAAGCGTCAAAATTTGGAAGTATCAAAAGGATATTGTAAAATTGTCAAAGTGGCAAATAATTAGTTTCATTTTTTCACATCTATTAATGCATACAATGTCTTCGATTAATAAACAAATCAATCTGATCACTTGAAAACTGTGCAATATTCTGGAAAGCAACATTTTCTTGCTTTTCAGAATTAAAAGGATTCAGTTGAGAAAGATCCGGGTAAGCGAAGAGAATTCGATTAAAATTTTTTCAAGTACTGTGCAGGTATGTTATCGAGATGTCATCTGTCCTTGTCTCAACTCTATTTTTCACATCGAATATGCAAATGATATGCATGATGTGATGAAGTCAATTCGTTCAATAGCTTTACCGGCTGTTATCATTGTTATAAATTACCGGAAAATGATTCAGAAAGTTGCAAAATAGTAAGTTCGGAAAAATTAAATTCTTTCTTTATACTCTTCTGATTGGATTAAATGTTGGGAAATTAGTGGTAATGCATTTTGGTTAACTATGAGATGATAAGCGTGGATAGATGGATGGATGGATGGGTAGATGAATGGGTGGGCAAATGCATGGGCGGGCAGCAGATGGAGGATGGGAGAAATAGTGGCATTGTGCAAGACATAAATCACTGAAGAAAGTTGGATCAGAGTTTCTTCTTAATTCCCTCACATTTCAATTCAGATCGAATATTCTCACTCATCGATATACCTACCTTCACTACCACTGCCACACAAGTAGATACCCAAAGAGAGTTGGTACACAGAAGAACTGGTCTACCACGGTACCACTGGTACCATGGGATTTCCCAGTGAAACGTGGGAGAAAAGCTGAAGTAATACGGGGAATACGATATTAGCACACTGGGAAATGTTGAATGGATATATAAATGATAAAATATTCAATGTTCAGTCAAAGAAGAAGATAGGAGATATTCAGGTAATTTGTTGCATAACTTTTGAACAGAGTCATTTCATATCTTAATTAACAGATGGTTGATGGGTTGTCCTCTGCTCTTTTACCCGCATTACTTGATAACCTTTGTCGTACAAGTTAATCACTACCATATATCAGTATCAGTATATCTAGTATCGCACCAATACGATGGAAGATGAAATGTTATAAATGAAACTGTGCAGACATAGGCGGAAAAATACATTCTACACATCAAAAATTGAATATAGTTAGGTATTAGAACCTGCACGGGTCATCTGATGATGAATTGAATTTCAGTACTGAAGTTGGATTAGAACGATGAGGTTCACAGGTGAGTATATCACTAATTGCAATAAAGAAAGAAGAATCTTCAAGTAAACGAAGATGAATGAAAAAGTTCCTCGAATGTCACCATCTTACCTACCTCACTGTCAAATTTAACTAAAACAACCATCATCATTTCATTATCAGTCCAACCTATCACATTGGCAATTTACTGATGAATTTATCAACCAAATGTTGCACAAAAATTTATTCAACACAGTTACATATCATAATTGCACGAAAAATGTGACATTTCCTAGAACTGTGACACTCATAACCATAGCTATAGTTACTCTGTCAACTGCCCACAACTATTTCAAATTATTTCGATCAATGAATCTTCACATATTAATGAATATTTCAGGATATATTTCAGGAAAGAGCCAGATCAGTAGTTAGATTATCAGTTATATAGCACAGAAAAGGAAACAGGAAATGGTTGCGTGAGTAGAACAGGTGGAAAGTTCGAATAAGCAACATCACGAAGCGATGGATGATCGATGATTGAGTAGTTCAAAACATGTTTCAGTGACTCATCCTCTTTGAAATACAATGAAATGAACTGGTTCGTGTGGTTCAGGTGCCAATCACAGTTTTTGAGCAGACAAAATTTGAAACCATTCCATCCTGTCCGACCGACCGATCGACCGCTTTCCCTTTGCTTGGTTGAACAACCATCACTTTCCCAATACACTACTACTACCAGTCAAATCGAACATTCCAGTAAATGAAAAAAAAAAAGTTTTTTTTTTTCAAAAAGATTAAAGATTATGTCCTTTTCCAACGGATAAACTTTGCAAGAGATGTTGAAATGAAAATTCCGTTTAGTTTCTGTAGCTTACCACATAAATAATTAACGTTGCACTGCACATTTTTTGTTGCAGAAAATCTTAGACAAGAAATATGGAATCATTTCTCCTTCTTCTATTCTCTCTCTCTCTCTCTCTTTCTCTCTCTCTCTCCTAATTTTATCTTTTTTCAGTAACGGAACTAACGAATGAACTCTTACAACAATTACTGAAAGATTATCCGAAATATAACTTATGAATTGATTCTAAAATAGTAAAATAGTTCTCATCTTCACTTCATATTTCTTGCAAACAATTTAGAACGACGTTACTTTTTCTGAATACGGAATTACGGAACTAATCATACATTTACTTAAATGACGCAAAGAAACGTGTACTTTGAGATGAGTTTCGTTTCCTTTCAACTGTCTATAGAACACTGTATTTGAAAATTATAATAACACTGACGATAATAATTAATACTAATACTAAAGTAATAACAGGAATAATTAATAATGATAATAATAATAAAGCATCAAAATGCTAAAGTATTCAAAAAAAAAAAAAAAAAAAAACTTAACTTAATAATCAAAAAGACTGTAATTAAATTAATATTTAACGAACAAAACAAACTAAAAATGTTTTATAAATGTAAAATATTCAATGTTTTCGTAATAGAAATAAACTGCGATTGCAGAAAATTAGAAAAAGCAAACGATCGATGGATTAGCTTATGGATTGGTCAGAATTCCTCTACCGGATTCCACCAGTCAGAATTACTCTGACAGAATGAATTTTGCAAATAAAAAGGAATGTGTCAGGTTAGTACAGTGATGTTTGGATCTTATTAATGAAATAATAATGATTTATTGAATATGAAATGAATTGATGGAAAATTGCGCTTCTGTGATACTCAAAATGAATCGATGCGCTCTTTGAAGCATAACATACGCACAATTTATCCAACATCGTATAATTTAATTTGCGTTAAATTTTCAACATTTAGCAAGTCATAAGGGAATTACAAGATACATCCATCATCCTTCGTCCATATGCATACTATTATTTATGGCAAAAGCTTTTAGCATTCTTCTGACGTATAAATTAAATATGGTTGTGCATTCAACTTGAGATGAATATTTTCTAATAAATTCAAGTCAAAAAAATGGGTTTCTTTTTCTTTTTTTTTTTTTTTTAAAAAGAAGGTCTATCTTTCATTTTTTGGAGTATCGAAGTGACCGATAATATGTATTCAATATCGGAATGAAATAAAATACAATGAAAAAAAGGAAAAAAAAAAAAAAAAAACGAAATTTGAAACATTCACAATAAAATGAAAACATTTAAGTTGAATTTTCATCTTTCGGAAGTTTTTGTAAGAAATAATCGAAAAAAGAAACTTTATTTATATTCATTGTAAAACAGCAATTTTTTAAAAAATATTTGAAATAGTATTTTCTAGGATGTGCATTTGACCCTTTGAAAGAAAAGCTAAAAACTTTGTTTGCAGCAAAGAACAATTTTTCTGCTCTTTGGAAGCAGAAAAAAAAAAAAGAAACTGCAAAATTCATACTTGACTTTAAATAAATCAATTGATTTATAACTGAAATGATATCAGTTTATAGTTTTCAATGAGTTTAAAATTGTGTGGAAATAATTTTATATTTTTCCGTTTATCATTATGCTCATCAGGAAATCATGAATCCGGATTGCAATATGATAAGCGTAATTTGTACATAGCGAATAGAGTCGATGTGGAGGTGAGTTAATGTTAGCCATTTAAATTAATTGTTTTCTTATAGAATGGCACAATCAGGTGGATAAATCGTCAAAAAGTGCTAGAGAAGAACGTTAATGCTTAGCTAACGGTGAATAGGCACACGGATACGTACGTGGTCGTAAGTGGTCGGAGAGTACTGCGCCATCAAAACGTAACCATCTATTCATTTAGTTAATCAGTCAATCAAACCAAACAGTCTTGAAATTCAACTTTTCCACAAATTTTGTTGTCATTGATATTGGCATTACTTATTGCTAAAAAGCAAACACAAACTTCATTATCTAATTAAGTAAGATTAAGTAACTAGTAGAGGTTATTGTCTATAAGTAAGATACATTGACTCATCGATTCAGCTAAATCAGTTAAATAAATCAGTTTCTTAGCTAAAATTGATCCATTCAAACGCTAAATCTGAACTGAATAATACTAGTTTAAATAATGTGATGCAAAAAAGAAAAAATTATTCTTTATTTCAAATAATTCAGTTATACTTTTATAAAAAAAAAAATTGAGGAACAATTAACAAATTGCAATAATTCTGAAAAAAAAAAAAAAAATGTTTCCTTTCTGAAATGCTTTCCTTCTAAACAACAATAAAATGAATTATTTCACTCTAATCACCAGTTTATTCAATTTTTTTTTTTTTTTGAAGCCATGAAGAAAAAGAAAAAAAAAAAAAAACTTTGTTAAAAAATGGAAAAAATCACTGAGAATATTTTATTTCCAAATAATCAACTCCAAGTTATCTTCTTGCAACAAAAAAAATAAAAAATAAAAAATGATTCCAAGAAACGCATTTTTTTTTTTTTTTTGAAATTCAATTAAATCTAATGGTGATGTATGCTGAGCATTATTTCTATTTTATCATTTGGAAAATTTTCAGAAATGATTTCATTCTTCTCTTCTCTCTGCTCATCCTGAAATATCTTAGCTACCTTAAAGTTTTATCTCCTTTACTTATCCATTAATAAGCACCAGAATTAATTTTCCATCATTTAAAACTGGAAGCTATGATACTTCATTCTAACTATCCAATAAATCCTTTTCAATTATTTAACTTTTTTTTTTTAAAAAAAAACATTGAAATTCAAATCACTTATATCTGTCAATTTTACCCTTCCAAAGATGAGCCAGAAAAGTGTCCAAATAAGTGGAAGTACTGATTTTATTATTTGTGTACTTTATAGTTCAAAGTACTTATCACAACCAAGTTCAATGATCAACATAATCACATCTAGCAGATATGAGCCTGCAATTTGCTAAGTCTTACTGCATCCTGCAGTTTGCACCAGTAAATGGAGCTGTTTCTGCAATTTACAATAGCAAATAAATAATTTCGAATTGAGTAAAGAGAAAAAGGCTTAATTTTTTAAACATGGATTTTTAAAAATTATTTGAAGTACCAAAAAGTCAAACCGTAATATTCGAATGCTTGATTCGGTTAATTGTATAAAACTTCATGTCTAATGCAGTTTAATTTAATCCGCATCTAATTTAAATGGGTATTTGTCACTTCAATTTAGATGCAACAATTACCAATAACGAAATGTTAATAATGTGACAACCGGACTGTCAATAATGTGACAACCGGATTATAAATAATGTGGCAACCGGATTGTCACATAACAATGATAAATTATGTTTTTATAATGCAACGAGACTTTGATAATGGTTAAAAATGAATTATTTATCAATTTTTCCGACTAAATCCGGCGAATTACAAAGTGTTTGGAAATTGAATCGTTCTTTCATTGCTAGCTTATCTATCTACCAGCCAGCCAATCATGATGGAAGAGTGCGAAAAATTGAGTGATGTTAAGTTAGCAATGAAATTGTGAAAAAAGAAAAACGCTGAAAACCGTAAAGATATTACGATACTTCCATGCCACTGTACATTTTTTTCAAGAAGAATTCCGGATGTGCCGATATCGCTTCAATTTAAAATTGAAAAATTGATTAAATTCAGAATTAAAAGCAAAGTTAGACTGTTGCAATAATTTCCAAAATTTGTCTTAGCTGTTTGAAAAAAATGATTCAAATATAGCTTATAATGGCAAATAATTTTTTTGTTTAATTCTCTTTAATCTTAATTTGTTTAATTTATTCCTCAAGAATCATTTTTCGAAGAGCTCCAACATTTTATTGAAATGTAAACATCATCTGTAACAACTAAATAATCCATAGCATTCGAAGAAGTCTTAATTTAATACAAACCTAAGAATGATTAGTGCAAATTTAATAATGCCATATCTTTCTATCAGACTGACTGAAATCTACTTTTTCTTTTTTTTTTTTAGTTTTTTTCTTGCAAAACAGCTTTGATCATGTAAAGAAATGGATAGCCTAAAAAAAAAGAAAAGAAAAGAAAGGCGAAGAAAATTTAAAACTCTGAAAGGAATTTGTTATTATTATTGGTACTCGAAAGAAAAGTTAATGAAAAAATGAGCCAAAACTAAGTGAACTTTTGCACAAAAATTTTCATACTAAAGTGAAATTTTTGAATGATCTTACGATAAATATAACACCATTTTATATCTTTGTACACTGAAACGTACGAGAATTCACTTCACGTTGCGTGGACCAATGATTGATTCACGTTGCGTGGACCAATGATTGATTCACGTTGCGTGGACCAATGATTGATTCATTGAAATGCCTGAAATGTGTGACAAAAGGAAAAGTGAAATAACACTGAAAAGAGCAACATCATATGTTTACACAACTAGCGTATAGACATATAAACATAAATATCTCTCTGCAAGCACGTTCTTTGATTTAAGCGGAACATCTGCAACTGAACCACATGGCATGGGCTAGGCTAGGCTTGTATGGGCTGGGCTGGGATGGCATAAGCTGGGCTGGACTGGGATAGCTGGGTCGGTTGGTCTCAGTATCGCAGGTTACTTTTTACAGATTACTACAGAACCAATACTATCTTTCTGTCATCTGTCTGCTTCTTATGTCAGATGAATTTACTTCCTTTTCCTACTTCATTTCTTTTACTTTTTTATTTTCATTTTTTTTTCCTTTACCAAAATTTCTTCATAAACACAATCAACGCAACGTTTTTTTTTTTTTTTCGATAATTACGGTTGAGTTAATTAAATTGCATCAAAATAGGTTAATGTAAACCTATTTAGTTAAATGATTAAATTTCAAGGAAACTCTCAAGCAATATCACTTTCAAATCTGTCTTGCCTTACTTCTAACAGTGCTATTTTCTCGACATTATTCCCTCAAATACGAAACGAAGCTTAATTGTGTTTTTCTTTTTTTTTTTTTTAGTTTGGTCCACCCCATTTGTTTGTTTGTTTTTTGTTTTTTGCTTGCAGTCAAATGTTTCATGGGCGGTGATTTTAAATTGCATCAAGAAATGAGCTACGACTAAAGCGCCACACTTCATCACTTATATCCCTTTTTTGTTATTTTTCAATACTTTAATATTCGAGAAAAGTAGTGAATATTGCTATTGCTTATGAGCAATACTTGGAAAAAGTTGAAGCTCGAATTTAAACTGAAATAGCAATTCTATGGCGATAGTACTGTGTATTAATGTTACATAATAAACATTACATTTCAGCACTGTCTCCTATTTCCTTTAGAAATTTTTGGTTGGAACATGCATGAGTAAGTTAATGTTCTAAGACAAACAAAATTCGAATTTGTCATTTGTAAAGTGAGAGGAAGAAGGAAATAATGCAGGGCAGCACTGCACTCCTAAGTCTAAAGCCGACATGAACAGCTGACTTCAGATGTAAGCAAGTTGAGAGATATTCACTACGACAGTGATCACTGGCTCAGAATGCTGAAATTTTCGGAACATTTAATGGATTGTTAAATTTGCCTTACTATCACGTTCACGATCATTTTATCGTTATCATCATCATCATCATTAACTATAGCCATCATCATCATTATCATTAACTATAGCCATCATCATCATCATCATCATTAATCATAGCCATAATCATTATCATCATTAATCACAGCCATCATCATCATCAT